AAAAACCCAAACACCTTCAGTGGCCTTATTAAAAACCCAAACACCTTCAGTGGCCTTACTAAAAAACCCAAACACCTCTTTTACTGTTGTTTTCATGTAGAGCAAAGACATTTTCCTGAGGTTGTATCTGTGCCATTTTTGGGACAGTAGCATGGGATGATCCCTCGGTGCTTTGCAGGTTCAAGTGGTGCTTTGTGAGCTCAAACCCATCAGGTTCACACTATCCCTTTCAGATGGCCAGAATGCTCCAGGCTCAGTAACTGGAATAAATTTCTGGAATTCTGAACTTAACTGGCATAAATTAACTGAGCTTTCCTGCAGCCTTATGTCAACAAGAGTTTTTTTCTCAATAAATTATATTAAGGGAGCTTTTAATCTATTTGTGCTTTCACGTGGAAGTGTTTAAAGTTGTAAAAGTTGGGACTTTTGTAGAGAATTGTACCTTCCTGTGGGTTTGAGCACTCGCCTGTAATTCCTGAGGCTGACGCAACACCCATCAGAAATTTCCTTTTCCCACGTGGTTTATATGCCTGCAACATTGAAAAAAATACTTACAGGAGGTTTGTGGAATTTGTTGTTGTTTAGAAGTGGCAGAGGTGCTGGATAGTCCCAGGTACATTTGTTGTGAAAAACCCTCAGAGCCCTCTTGGCTCTTCCCATTGGAGACGCAGCACGACGTGCCCCGTCGGGCCCAGTGTCACTGCAAAAAGCTTGGATTCCCTGGAGAAATAGGGTGCTTTGGCTTGATTGATTCTGCTCCCATTTTTAAGGGCCTTCAGAAGCTGCAGCATAGGGCTGGCAGTGCCTCCAGAAAATTCCCTGTTTTTAAGAACCTGATCTCTACCTTCTGTTTGTGCCTCAGCTTGGGAGTTGCAGGTTTTCTTCTGGAGCTCCAGGAATGCCTATTCCTCAGGCACAAAAGACATTAACTCAAGATTTCTTGCTATTTTACTGTATTTTCGAGGCTGGCTGAATTTTAAATCTGTTAAAATCCACCTCTACCTGGATAGACTATATTAAGGAAGCATTATTCCCCAAAACCTATATATAGAATATATATATCTCAGATTCTGAGTTTCCCATATGCAATTTGGCTTGTATTTTCCAGAATCTTTGCCAACAAAAGGATATACGCATTACTAATTTTACTTTTGAAAATGAAACAACCTTGGAAAGGAAACAGGACCCTGGAATTGGAGCCCCAGAGAGCAGGTTTTGGTTAATCACCCAAAGCTTTGCCAGAACTTTGCGCTAACGCAGCAGAAACTGGATTTTAAATCCACTCTGCCTCACATCCTCCTGTCACCAGAGGGGCAGACCCTGACCTGTCGGGGGTTCCGGGTGTTATTTGGTTGGAAGCAGGGATATGGGAAGGTTCTGTTCAGCTGTGTTTGTTTGCCAACAGACGTCTATCCCCGACTCGGAAAGCAATCTGGATCAGAACTGCTTGTCTCGCTGCAGCACAGAGATTTTCTCTGAAGCCAGCTGGGAGCAGGTGGATAAACAGGACACAGAGGTACAGACTAAATCCCTGTGAATCACTCCTTTTGGGATATTGATATTCAAATTATCCTCTGGCCTTTGGTCGTGTGCCACTTCTTGGGAACTCTCTTCCTTGCGTTCCGCTTGTCTCACCTGACACACCAGTACCTGTGCCTATGAGCCCTCTGCTTCACACACTGGGAGCTGGGGAAGGGAGGAGTAGGAAAGGACATGTGCTTGGGGAATGTCCACCTTTAGCTGAAGGGAATTGGACTTTCTGGCTTGATTTCTGCCTGTCTGAGGGAATCCAGCGTCTCTGTTCTCACAGGTCCGTGCATCTGCTCCCGTTGCCAGCCCTGACCTTGTGCTCTTACAGCAGAACAAGCACCTTCCTCGGGGTGCTTGGCTTTGCTTTTGGGAGCACAAACAGGACGGGTGTGCTTCCCCTGCCCCTCCCTGACCCCTGTGCCTGTTGTTCCAGGTGACGCGGTGGCTCCCGGACCACCTGGCCGCTCACTGCTACGGCTGCGACAGCGCCTTCTGGCTCGCCAGCAGGAAACACCACTGCAGGTACCGGGCACAGGAGGGAGGGACACACTGCTCTGCTCCCCTCACACCTGCCAGGCCCTTCCTTGGGACACTCGGCTCCTCTCCCAAGGAGCGCTGTCAGAGCAGGAGGAGCCGAGCGCTTGGAACAGAACAGTTCCTCCTGCTCAGCTCCACTTCAGGCACAGGAGATATGTAAAAGCCACGTTTGGTATCTGTTCCACCCCAGCCAAAACAGATCCCACCTTTTTCCCTCAGACTGGATTTGGAGGCAGCTGGCTGTTTAGATTTATAAAAAATACAACTTTGTCATCTTAGCATTCAGTAATTCAATATGAGTTACATGAAATATAGGAATAGCATCTTCTTCCCACTGCTGGTTGTAAACCTGCTCCTTTCCTTCTCTAACCATTCTCCACTCTTCATTAGCTTGCTCCTACAGAATCTGAAAAGAACAACTATGTGAGATCAAAGTTTTCTGGATTATTCTTTGCCAGACATGTTGCCACAGAGGCTGCAGCAGCTCAGGCAGCAGCAGGGCCTTAATGAAGAGCAGGAGGCAGAGGCCACGTGGTCAAAGCCAGAGAATCTCCAGTTTCTAAGTTCTATTTCAAATAAATTCCTATTCCTGGTTTCTGGACATGCAAAAACTATTACAGGAACCAGCATTTAAATAAATGGCAGTTACCACATTCTGCTGCTCTGTTGCTTTTTGAAGTTAGAAAGAGTTATGAACATCATTTTTGGTTCATGTCTGGTTTATATTTTGCTCCAATTAGTCTTGTAAAGCTGATCAAACCCAGGGAAGAACAATTAGAATTGAAATGATTTCTTTTTTCCATGTCCACTGTGCCTGTGCAAATTTATATCACGAGGCTGTTCCCTAGGCCTGGGCTCAGGAGAATTCCCAGAGCCTGGATACACACAGGTCACCCTAACAGCACGAGGAGTTAAAATGGCCTCAGGGTTTCACATGGCTGCACATCTCCCTGGAGTGTCTTTGTTCAGCTTTGCCATGTCCAGTGACCAGACCCACACCACGAGTGTCTCCCCAGTAAACATCCACAGCCCCTTCCCTGGGGGTGGAAAGGAGCTGAACCACAGCGTAAGGCCTTGAGCAGGATAAAACCTTCCAGTTTCCTTGGTTCCCTCTGCCTGTTCCCTGAGCTCTCTCTCCCCCTGCAGGGACCCTGACCGAGTTGATCAGCTCTGGTGAGCATTTCCAGCAGCCTCTGCCCCTTGTCCGTCTGCCTTTCCTGGGTGACTTCTCCCAACTAACTCGGGCTGTTCCCCCTCTTTGTTTCTCACTTGCCTACAAATCACCAGAACTAAGGTGGGGGTGTTTGGATCCGTGTGAACAGGCCTCTCTCCTCCCAAAGAGGCTTTTAGGACTTGGCTTTTGGGAGCTTAAACGGGATGTGTCTCACACTAACACTCACTGTCAGCCCGCGTGTGTGACAGAGAATGCTGTGCTGCTCACTGGGAGGACACTGCCCTGCAAGTTTATCCATTTATTTTTGATCCTTCCCTTTTTTGCCATATTTTTGGGAGAGATCCATGTGTTATCAAACAATTCCAACATTGCTCTGCATACTGTTGACAAAAACCTGCCACTTGTTTTAGAAGGACTGAAAATCCCGTGGCAGGAGCAGGTCCAGGGCTGGTCGAGGGTCAGGATCACCAAAGTGGATGAACAGCTGTGATTTGGCATTTTAGGGAGTGTGATTTTCAGTCCCCCTTTCTCTAACAAGCAAGATCCCTTTTCCAGCCTGTTTTTTAACATCTCATTCTAATCCCTGAAGCGAAGCAGGGGACCACCAGGATGGAAGGATGAGCTGTCCAGAGCTTTCCAAAGCTCAGGAGAGCAGCTACAGAGCACCATTATCTGGGCTAAAACAACAAAACCCCAAGCATATGTTAGGAAGCTGTTGAGCTCCAACAAAGAGATACTTGTTTTAATCCCTCTGGTTCTCTTTTCCTTCATCCATCAGCAGTGAGCTGCTGCGGGATAATCATTCCTTGGGCAGTGAGCTGGGGCTGTGGGAGCTGCTTCTCCACAGGGTGTTGCTGTGTGACACCTCAGGGGCTGTTCCCACTCCTGTGGGTGTTTCTGACAGGGGTTTCTAACAGGATCCTCAGGACTCCAGAGCCTGTGCAGAGGTTGGTCCCTGTGCTGGGGTTCCTGCTCCGAGCCTCGGAGCTGCTGTGCAGAACTGAGGAAATGAGTCCACTGAAGTGAGAAATGGGATTTCTCTGCTCCCTCTCTCCCCATCAGTGACCAGCAGCTGGAAATCTCTCTTGGCAAGGAAGGCTTAGTTGGAGCTGCTGGGTGTCAGCAGAATTCCCTGGCAGTCTCTTGGCAGCAGCAAATCTCCAGCTCAGAACAAGGAAGGCACCAAATCCCGATGCCAAGGAGTTAATGGGAAGGGCAGCTGTGAAATGCAGGTCCCTGGAGTGCTGCTCCCAGCTCCTTGTAGGAGTCAATGAGTTTGGAGGGCAGGGCTCACAGGCTGTGAGGGGGTGCAGGAGGAGGGAGTTGCCTGAGCTGTGCCCATCCCCAGTGAGGTGCATGTGCCAGCTCCCGGGAATGCCGTGCCTGCCCCGCATGGAACACCTGCCTGCCCGCCCTGGGCTTTGCATGGTCCCTGTTGGCTCAGTGTCCTGGATGCAGGAGTGTGGGACTGCTGGAGCTGCTGTGGGGGCACTGGGGGGGTTGCACTGACTGAAATGAGGTTTGGTGTTCCCATCTGTCCCAGCTTGGAGCAGAGTCTTGGCTCCTCCCAGCACGGCCACATCCGTCCCGCTGTGACCCCGGGCTGGATCAGGGCTGTGAGCAGGGCCACAGCCCCACAGTCCCCACGTCCTCCTGCAGGAGGGGCCTGTTGTGGCTCCAGCTCAGCCCCTCTCAGCCCTGTGCTCCAGGGGGGTGGTGGCACCCTCCCTGAGCTCCTCTGCAGCACATCCAGCCTGGAAGTGTTCCAGGCCAGGTTGGACGGGGCTTGGAGCAACCTGGGCTAGTGGAAGGTGTCCCTGCCCATGGCAGGGGGTGGGATGAGAAGGGCTTTAAGGTCCTTCCCACCCAAACCATTCCATGATGACATGGCAGAGAGCTGACCCATCACTGCAGAGGAGTTTGATGAGCTACAATCCCACACTGTCCCTACCTCCGAGCTCCTTCCTGTGTCCATTCCTGGATGTCTGCTCCGACTGGAGAAGGAATCAGTGCAGATGTTGGAGCTGTCCCTGCCCGTGCCCTGGTCCAGAGTGTCTCCAGGGCCAACCCCATCACAGCACTGGGAATATCTCATTTTACAACTTTATCAAACTGCTTCTAATCCTCCCTTTTCCGTCTCTCCTCTGTTCCCGACACAAGGAATTGCGGGAACGTGTTCTGCTCCAGTTGCTGTAACCAGAAGGTGCCCGTTCCCAGCCAGCAGCTCTTCGAGCCCAGCAGGGTCTGCAAGTCCTGCTACAGCAGCCTCCACCCCGGCAGCTCCAGCCTGGACCTCGAACTGGACAAGCCCATCACTGCCACGTCCAACTGAATTCCCGGCCTGGGAGCGGCGGGGGAGCAGCCGAGCCGGCCCTTCCCCAGGACAGGCGGATCCCGGAGGGCCGAGGCTGGGAGGCTGCGGGAGCGCTGTGGAGGTCGGGGCTGGGGCGTGGCTGGGCGGGACGGACGTCGAGGATGCGCCGCTGGATTGTGGGAGTCTCCTTTTCCAGCTCTTCCCCCTTCCCTGCCTGTCCTGTCCGTGTGTCCGTGTGTGTGTGTATATATAATAATATATATATGTTTGTTTGTTTGCGGGAGGGTGCGGAGGTGGGAAGGGGCTGGGCCAGAGCCAGGATCCCGTGGGTGTTCCTGTCCCGCTCGGAGGGTTTGGGAGCGGAGGGAACCGGGCCAGCCAAGCTGCAGAGCCTCGAGAGCTGGAGCCTCCAGGGCTTTCAATCACTCCTGTAATTCCAAACCAGAAACTGCTGTTTGGGAACCTGTTGCTGCTACAAGAGGTGGGAATGTCCTTCCCAGGAGAGTCCTCTCCCTCTCTGTTCTCACAGTGGCTGCCCCAGGGGATCCCCTGCACACACAATCCCTGAGCTTTGAGCCGTTGGAGCAGGATCACCTGGACTGTTGGCTCAGGAATGTTGGTGGGAGGTGAGATGGTGTCACACCAGGCCTCTCCAAAGGTCTGTCCATGCAATCCATGATTCAAATCCGAGTGGGACAGGAGCAGACAAGCTTGTCCTTGCCCCCTCCATGGGAGGTTCCCCGTGGGAGCAGAGCTTTGCCAAGGTCAGGCCCAGGCCCTGGTGGGTCAGACTCGCACTTTACTGAGACTCCAAACCGATGGAAGGCACCGGGACCCGCTGGAGTCTCCGGGCTCGGTCCGTGGGGAGTGCACTGGTGCTTGGCATCCTCCTGGGATGTTCCTCCTTTCCCAGGCTGTGTTCAGTGTACCCCAGATAGGAAAAACCTGCCTGAGGATCTTACAACAATCCAAAATACATCATGGATCCCCCTTCTTCCTTCTGCCCCAATCCCAGTCACTGAAGTGTGAATCTCCCGAGTATCTGTTTGTAACTCAGCAGTAGGTGCTCATCCCCTTCCCATAGATCCCATAAATCCTGCTTAGTGCAATCTGGCAGAGGAAGCGTAGATCCTGCTCACAGTGTATTCCTTAGGCAAAGTCCCAACTGCTCTGTGATATTCCCAACAATCCTGCTGGAGTATTTGAGAGCTCTAGATACAACAGCTCAAAATCTAAGAAACCTCGGGAAAGGAGCGTTTCCCTTCCCTGGAATGGCACAATCACATCCAAAGGAGGGTCACACAGATAAACCATCTGGCAGAGCTCGGTGGGTCTGAGGGGAGAGGCCCAGGGGGTCTGACTGTGCCCTCCCCACCCCCAGGAGGATCCGGCAGGAATGAATGTCCAGGAAGGAGGAGGCTGCGTCCTTTTGGGAAGGGGCTCTGGGAACGGACGGAGCATCTTGGGATCTCCCTGGCACGGGTTTAGAAAAAGCTACAAGGAGGGAAAGGCGAGGCTGAGGTGGGTTCTCCAGCCGAGGGGTGTCCAGGAACTGTTCCTGACCCAGCAGTGGGTGCTGGAACGGAGGCTCAGGCATCGGAGCGGGAGGAGGGGAATGTCCGGCTCTTCCCGGGAATGGGGAGGGGGCAGGGCCGGGGCTGGGGGTGTTACCCCAACCTCGTGTGGTGCAGGATGAGCCGGAGCCTCCGCAGCTCCTGGTGCCAGGAGGGCTGGGATGTACAGTGTGAATAAACGCTTGCGGCTCTTTAGGCTTTTTTGGATCGATGAAGCACTTTTTTTATTAATATTATTTTTCTTTGTATGTAAAGGAGGAAGCGTCTCTCTCTCCGTAGCTGTGTACAGAAATAACCCTTCTCTCCACAAGAGAGTAAAGTGCTCCTATATTTTTCATTTTTGTCAAAAGCGAGAAGTAAATACTTTAGAATTGTTAAATATATAAATAAAAGTGAATAAAGTTTAGACTTTTGCATGGGAGCATTTGCTAACACACTTTCTAATTTTTTTATTTTGCTTCCCTGTCCCTCAGAGGGACGTTGTGGAGGTTCAGCGGGAGCACCGAGGCCTTGGAAAAGGAGCAGCAGGCGCTGCCTCTGGCTTTGTGTTCCAGGCCGTGTCTTCGCAAGGAACAACAAACTGTTGCTCCTAAACCCAGAAGAAAAAATAAATCTTATGCTTGGTTTTCCTGGTCCCAGGGAGGGGGAAGGACACAACCCACCCCCCCTGGTTCTGTTGGTACAGTCAGAGCTGTTTTCCAAGGATGGAGAACTGTTGGAGGTTGTTGGTGTTGGAGTCTCAGCTCCCTCCATCCCACATTTTTCTTTCTCCCTTAACCCACCATCATATTTCACTCTGATGATGTTGCCCAACTGTAGGAGCAGCCCAGGTCTCCAGGGAATTCCCCTGCTTTCAGTGAGGTTTGGTGGGGGAGGTCGGAGTTCTCACTGTCACACTTCCTGCCTTATCCCAGTGCTGGATGGTGGAGCTGCAGCTCTTCGGGAACAAACCAAACTCACTCAGGTTCAAGATCTTTCTTCCCAGAAGGTGGAAAACTCAACTGGTCTTTGTCCCACACTAAAGCCCAGTTATGCCCAGTTATTCCCAGTTTCCTGTGAGTGCTGCTCATCCCAGCTGTGCTCCCGTCCCTCAGCTCACCCACCAAGGGCTGTTTGTTCTCTTGGAGGATTTGCCCTGCATTCCCAGGGGTCTGAGCAGCTCCTTGAGCAGCTGTGAGTGATGTTGGGCCAGACCTGTCCCATCCCAGGACCTCGTACTCAGTTGTTCCGTGATCTGATGGGGATTATTTAATCAAATCAAAGCAGGTCGGGGCAGAGCTGTGCTCACACTGGTGGGATCTGCAGCTGCAGGAGCGAGAAAGCAGCACAGAGATCCCGTGTGGCACAGTTCAGGACACACAAAGGAGCAGCAGAGTTTCAGTTACACCTCACAGTTTGATTTCCTAGAGCTCCTTTCACACTCGAGTTACCTGGGAGTGCTTCACCAGGAGCTCATTGCCCTGCAGGTGTTGTGTGCTCACCGGTGCCCTCGGGCACTGCCCTGCCGGGCCGTTCCCCTCCTTGGGAACGCCGGGGGTGGGTCTGCTCTGCTCTCAGAGAAGGTTTTAACTCCCATGGGCTGTGAAGCCCTTGGTGCAGAAACTCCTGTCAGGGGCAGCAGTGCCCTGGCAGCTCCCCCAGAGGAGGACACGGCTGACAGGGTGTTGAAGCCCATTCCCCAGTGATCAGTTCTTCCTAAGGAACTTCCTTCCCCCTTTCCTTAGTCCCAGCTCTCGGCAGCCCGGGAGCCTGTCAGGGCAGCGGTGCTGCTGTCACAGAGGAGCTGAGGGGCTGTGGAACAACCTCCACGGGCAGAGGGGAACTGGGGAGTCACAAACAGCGGCTGCAGAACGGAAATCTTTGGGAGCTGAAGGGCTCCATCCCAGGTGGGACAGCGGCGGGGCCACCCCTCCCTGACAGGGAGGTGACACCAGAGTCATTCAAGGGCAGTGATCTCACACCCGGGCAGTGCTCAGTGATCACACTGGGGTGGTGCAGGTGAGTGCTGGGGGCAGTTGTAGTGTGGAAAACCTGCTGCTCTGTGGTGGGGAAGGGGAAGGAGGTGTTGGGAACGGCTCTGCTGCGCTGGGAGGGCTGTTGGGGTGGGACAGAACCCACCCTGGGACAGGTTCTGGGGGGCTGCAAAGGGCAGTAGCCACCTGCAGAGGCTGAGCAGGCTCAGAAGCCATTGGACAGGGGGGTGTGGGTGTGTTACGGTCAGTGTGTAACTGCCCCTCGAGTCGACCTGGAATTACCCAGGACGAGGTTTAGAGTCAGAAGATGGTGTTTTGCTGGGCTGTGCTGGCGGGGGGGCTCGGCCAGCACTGAGTGAAGGCCAGTTCTGCCAGGTAAGGGTTGGACGAGGTGTCACACAGTCCTTAGGGCTGCCTATCACTGGCATCGCTCAGAACTGGCTCCTGAGCTCCTCAGAATTACGTTTTTTGGTTAAAAAGCCAAAGCAACAATTTAGGCTCTTTTTTTGACTGGTGAGGAAGGACAGAACGGTGATTCCTCATAGAGCTCAGAGCCCCTGGGGACAGCTCAGGGCCCTTGGGGACAGCTCTGCCCTCAGGGACGGTTTGGTGTCTCGGTCAGTGCAGGCATCAGAGCTCCAATTGTTCCATTTTGGGATTTCAGGTCACCATATTCTTTGGATGTGGACATCTTTTAAATGCTACTAAAGTTTGACCTTATTATTTAACAAATCTGGGTTTTAAACTGATTTCCTGCAGTCCTGCCATGAAATGATTTTTACACCTTGCAGTGGTTATGAGTTTGATTGTACCTTTTTTTTTTGGTGGGATTTGTACTGAAATGACATCTGAAATCTTGATTAACTACTTGAAGCACATGAAATGTTTGAAGTCATGCAAAGCTCTGAGGGCAGAGCTGTTCAGCAGCAGTGGGACGTGTCAGACCCTCGTGCTCACCTGTGTGAGCATTTCTTCAGCCTCAGAGTGAATGTTTAGATCTTAATAAATTTCCCTTGTTGTCTGTGTCAGGGCATCTGCAGAGCTCCCAGTTTGTGGGGCTTATTTTTAGGCAAATTATAGCTCATATATGAGGAAAAAGTAATCCTGGTGTTGAGAAACATAAAATAGGTTGGGAAGAGGGAAAGCCTGGATGGGCAGCGATTGCCAAAGCCCCGGGCTTTGGAGATGAGCACTTATGGAGAGCAGAGGATCCTGGGGATTGATCAGCTCTGCCAACACTTCCAACACTGACTTTCCCTGCTGTTGGACCCTCTGCCCCAACCACGGCACGTCTGGTGATGGAATTAGAGCCACGTGTTGTTCCCTCACCTTCCCGTTCTGAGTTTCACAGCGACTCCTGTGGGACCTTTGACACCAAACTGCAGGGACAGAGTCCTAGTGCCAGGACAAGGGGAAAGGCTTCCCACTGCCAGAGGGCAGGGAGAGATGGGATATTGGGAAGGAATTCCTGCCTGTGAGGGTGGGGAGGCCCTGGCACAGGTTGCCCAGAGAAGCTGTGGCTGCCCCTGGATCCCTGGAAGTGTCCAAGGCCAGGTTGGACGGGGCTTGGAGCAACCTGGGCTAGTGGAAGGTGTCCCTGCTCATGGCAGGGGGTGGGATGGGATGAGCTTTATGGTCCCTTCCCACCCAAACCATTCCATGGTTCTATACTGTCGGGGGCTTTTCAAGCCCAAATACTTTTTATTCCCTTCAGTGCACATACAAAGGAAGCCCTTTGGTGCTGGGACTGGTTAATGGGATTTGTGTGATTTCAGGGAAGCTCTGCTTGGCTCAGCCAGGACACAGAGAGCCCATGGAGCCTCCCTTGCTGCATCCCACTGGAACTGCTCCACTCTGCTCCTCCCTGGAGGCAGCGTTTGTCACTTGTGTCCCCCTGGATCTGCTGGTTTGGCCTCAGGGAAATGCTGGACAGCTCCACGCTCAGCAAACAGCTCCTTCCCCCTCTTCCCACTCAGTCTCCTGGCTGCTGTAGCACTTCCCAGCTATAAATTCCAGCTGTCTTTGGCCTACTAGCGCTTTTCTTCTGTTATTACCAACTTTTTAATTAAAAACTTGTAGTCATCAGGGCAATCCCAAGCAGGTCAACTGGTGGGCTGAGGGAGGAGAAGCACACAGTCAGCATTTAGGTGGAGAATTACTGGATTTCAATCCATGACTTATGTAGAATTTATGTCAGGATGGATTGCAGCATCACTGGGACACGTGCACAGGGAATTAATCAGCTTTCTGGAGGCCACAGAGAATAAAAATCTCTCTTTTCTTCAGAAAACAGCAGTTCCTGAGGAGGTCAAGGTAGGAAGGGCTGTCTGACCCTTGGAGTCACGGTGGGTGCCAGGGGCTGTCCTGGGAGCAAACCCCACCCTGGGCAGATGCCAGGGTGGAACCCATGGTTAGCCCTGGAAAGCAAGAAGGTCAACAGGGGAAAATGATGTTTTTCTGTATTTAATAAGCTTCAGATAGTTTTCGGTTTGGTTTTGCTTGGTTTTCTTCAAAAAGAACACCATTGGCACTTGAAGAGCTGCTGCTTCCAGTCATTGTTTGCATTTGATCACTTGGGCTTTGCCTAAATCATGGTGAGAACATTCCAGCATCTTGGAGTGACTCCCAGGGCTGTGTCTGCATTAGGAAACGGCCCAAAGCCGGGGATTTCAGCCTGGGGCTGGCAGGGGTCACTCCTGAAGGGTTTGGTTTGGCCCTTGGTGGAATGTCCCCACCACGCCTGGAATTTGCAGCTACCTGAGGATTTTGGGAGGGATTTTTTGGATTTCAGCCCACCTTCTGTGTGTGCTGGGGCCTCACAGCCGGCTGCCCACATGCCCCAGGGTGCTGTCCCCGTGCCCCAGGGCGCTGTCCCCATACACCAGGGCACTGTCCCCATACACCAGGGCACTGTCCTGCAGCGCTGCCTCAGCCCTGTAACTGCCGGACCCCGACTCCGCGGCCACCGGACACAGCTCCTGGCTGCACCACCTGCATGGAGAGAGGGAACAGTCTGTGCCAGCCCTGGGACACACACAGGGCTCACACAGGGCTGGTGTCACCCTGAGCTGTGCCCAGGTCAGATCCCATCACCACAAGAATGGAGATATCCCATGGCAGGGAACAGCCCCAGGCTGAGGGCCCGGCCCAGAGTGCTGCTTGTCTCCACCTGGGAATTGTGTGCGGCCATGGCTGGGGGTGGGATCGCTCCGGGAGGCAGAGCAAAGCCTCCCATATGGAATCACCCCGGACAGGCAGGGCCGGGCAGGGCTGTGCCTACCTGAGGGCAGCGCAGGTGTCCGTGGAGGAGGCACCAGGCCGGGCTGCGTGTTCCATCAAAAGAGCTCCTGTGGAAGAGCAGGACATGTCAGCATTCCCAGGATCCTGCCAGAACTGCCCGGGACTTGGGAAAAGCAACTGGTGGTTATTTCTCAGGCTGAACTTCTTC